TTCATTAGGGTGCAAAATGGTGACATTCTATCAATTCGTCTTCATTTATTAGATTGACAACTTTGAAACAGAACAACTCCCCTTCATCAACTGCTTGGTTAGCCTGAGGTCCACATCATTTAGAAAAGGCAGGCTAAACTTTTCCTTTACTTAGCACCTATTCGCTTTTTTTTTTTTTTTTTTTGAGACAGAGTCTCGCTTTGTTGTCCAGGCTAGAGTGAGTGCCGTGGCGTCAGCCTAGCTCACAGCAACCTCAATGTCCTGGGCTCAAGGGATCCTTCTGCCTCAGCCTCCCGAGTAGCTGGGACTACAGGCATGAGCCACCATGCCCGGCTAATTTTTTATATATATATCAGTTGGCCAATTAATTTCTTTCTATTTATAGTAGAGACGGGGTCTAGCTCAGGCTGGTTTTGAACTCCTGACCTTGAGCAATCCGCCCGCCTCGGCCTCCCAAGAGCTAGGATTACAGGCGTGAGCCACCGCGCCCGGCCCTATTCGCTTTTGAAAAGGGGCTTATCTGAGAGTTCCTGTGGTTGTAACGGGATGTATATATTTTGCCTTTAAAGTATTTAATTGTAGCTTGTCCTACTATTAAAATTAGACAATGTTTTTAGGATGCAGTTTTGCATTGAGGTTTAATATGAATAGATTTATAGTTAAATAGAAATATAGGATTTAGTTCTAACAGCCTCGAAGGGGACTGCACTGAGCATTCAAATGTTCAACAAGCAGCTTTCCAATGTTCCACTGCATTTCACAAAAGCTCATAAAATATTAAACTCTTTTCTGAAAGGTGATCGACTAAATAATTTATAAAAATGAAGGTTTGAGTGAGTGCAAGGACAATTATGTCAAGTGTCTAGTCTCTTTCTAGTCAAGGAAATGCCACAGGTGTGTAGTGTCTCTGGAATTAGACAGGGATTTGAATTCCCCTTCACTTATTATGGTGAGCTTGAGCAAGTTACTCTATATATCCTAAACATATATTAAGAGAATATGAAATATCAGTGAATACTCTAAGACATTGTGCATTTCTAAGACATTAGAAAATACATGTGCTTTTATTTTTAGCAAGTCTTTTTCTTATTACTTTGGTTGGGCGAGGATGAGGTACGGAATGTTGCAAATTGCCCCATTGTTAATTACGAAACAGTAAAAAACTGCTATATTGAGAACATGCCAGCTTTGATTCTCAGGGCAGTGGTAGTGTTGTCAGCTCTAGGCTGGAGTAGTTTTTACTCAAAACTGATGGAGCTGCACGGCAGACCAGGTAGGTCTCCACCAGAGGATCCCTGTCAGGCAGTTTAGGGAGACAGAACCATGCAAATGTCAGAGCCAAATAAATTTGCCTTTGGTTCTACTAAGACTATGCACAATGGACAACTGAGCACCAGAGAGACAGAAGTGCACTCCAAATTGACTACAAAATAACCATAACACACCCAAACACTTCCCTTCTGTTACTGTTAAACCTAACCCTCTGTCTTAAACTGCCTGCCTTTTTCCTCCTCCCAGACTGAGTCAGTACTACCCCAGTCCTAGTTTGGCTCCCTGCCTTGCTGGAGCTCTATTATCCCACAGTTGTTATATCTTTTGTGACAGTGCCAACACACATAATTGTTAATTCATGGGGCATCAAAATGATTTCCAAGTCACTGAGAAACAAGTACAAACACTGAAAAATGTATTCCCACCCCCTAATTTTCATGGGAATCTGTCAATTAGAAAGATACAGAAATTGTGATAAGTGAAGGAATGGGGTATAAATTATTTAAAGATTTTACAAATTATAGCTTAGGTTCATGTCTTGTCATTATCTTAGTTGTATCATGTATAATGTAAGTTCCACGGGCACTGTCTCCTTAGAATTTCAGTATACATCAGTTTTCTTGATGTGTACTGCGCATACAGAGAAGTGGGGATTTACATTTTTAAGGCCTTTAGTAGTGTCACATGGCCATGACTGCCTTATTAATTTTGTTGTGACCCCAAACATGGTTAAAGTTGTGAAATTTAGGTGATAGAACATTCTCAACTTTAGAATAGCATTAGGTTCAGTTGTGGTGTGCTGCATCAGACTTAGTTCTGAATAATGCCTAGAACAATGCACAGTATTGTATATTGGTCAACGTGTTTCATAAATCCTGAACAAGTTGACAAGTGGAATTAAAGATGAAATTCAACCTAGACCTCTAAGGTAATTTTTTTTTATTCACATATAAATGTACACACACACACATATATATATATAACTTATGGTGTTCTTAGCCACTATGTTAACTACAAAGAGTAAAACGATTTTGCAACAGAGAGTTGGAATGGAAACAATTTCTGAGATAGAGATCAAATTGTGTTTACAGAACCATTATTGGCAGCTTTGCTATCAGTCATTTCCTGTGGGAATATTTCACTGGAAATAATTTTATGCTTTAACTATTCATTAAATAGCCTTGGGTCCATGGAATGAAATATTTTAGAGCTATAAATATTAATATATGTAAATCAGCATAACAGTTCATAGTATTTTCCTAGATAAGAATTAAGATTATTAAACAAACTATGTTTCTTATTCATCATTGAAAGAAATTTAAAACAACACTAACATACTATGGTCTAGTGGAAAGTTAGATAATAGACTGGAAATTAAAGCCATTTTTTCCTCTAAATTACAATTGATATTAATTCAAAAATACTTATGTATAGTATATAAGAGGCAATACTTATACTATGTGGAGAATACATAGGTCAATTATATTAGTAAATAGTCTCTGCCCTGAGGGAGTTTTATGAATTTTCTTGTAAGTGGGATACAGAATATATACAAATTTATTCTATAAAACAATAAATATACTATGAGTGGGTAGGAATAAAGTATTTTAGGAGTTTAAGAGCACTTGAGATACCATCCAGAACTCGCCCGATCTCGTCTGATCTCAGAAGCTAAAAGAACTTGAGGTCATGTCCATCTGGGAGATTAGAAGTGATTTTATAGAGAAGGCAGCTTAGAAGAGTTTTAAAGAATGGGTAAGGGCCGGGCGTGGTGGCTCACGCCTGTAATCCTAGCTCTCTGGGAGGCCAAGGTGGGCGGATTGCTTGAGGTCAGGAGTTCGAAACCAGCCTGAGCAAAAGCGAGACCCCGTCTCTACTATAAATGGAAAGAAATTAATTGGCCAACTAAAAATATATACAAAAAATTAGCCGGGCATAGTGGCGCATGCCTGTAGTCCCAGCTACTCAGGAGGCTGAGGCAGGAGGATCGCTTGAGCCTAGGAGATTGAGGTTGCTGTGAGCTAGGCTGACGCCATGGTACTCACTCTAGCCTGGGCAACAAAGTGAGACTCTGTCTCAAAAAAAAAAAAAAAAAAAGAATGGGTAAGATTTCTGCAAATACAGAGGTAGGTACAATTATTGCAGGAGAGACTAGGTACTAATAAAAGGCAGTATGGATCAAAGCACATTTAGAGATTGGAGCCTTTTGTGCAAACAACAACAACAAAACAACTGACACAGAAAATATAATATAGTTGGAAATAAGGGAAGTTAAATTATTTTCTTTTATTCAGTAATGCAAGCACTTATTCATCCAACAAATATTTCCTGAGTACTTGAGTACCTACTATATCCAGGTACTTGCTAGGTGTTAGCACATTTAGGCATAACTCAAAGGCCCTTTCTAATATGTAAACACTAAAACATGTAACTTTGAAATCAGGGATAATGGCAAAACTGATTCTTATCAATCACTGATTGATCAATTAATTTGTGGCAACAAGAGGTACTTTAGTTTAAAACTGCTACCTAGAACACAAGATTTAATGTTTTGGGGACAGAGTTTGTATTTCCAGATTACATTGTTTCTCAGCTTCAATCCAGTTGCTTTTTAACCCACTGTTTAAATTAATATGAAGCCTGGGTGTGGTGGCTCACGCCTGTAATCCTAGCACTCTGGGAGGCGGAAGCAGGATGGCTCAAGGTCAGAAGTTCGAAACCAGCCTGAGCAAGAGGGAGACCCCCGTCTCTCCTAAAAATAAAAAGAAATTAATTGGCCAACTAAAAATATATAGAAAAAATTAGCCAGGCATGGTGGTGCATGCCTGTAGTCCCAGCTACTTGGGAGGCTGAGGCAGAAGGATTGCTTGAGCCCAGGAGTTTGAGGTTGCTGTGAGCTAGGCTGACACCACAGCACTCTAGCCCAGGCAACAACAGAGTGAGTCTGTCTCAAAATAATAATATGAAGTTTATAACTTTTTTGTATTCAAAACCTGCAAGCGTGTATTTTTATATGGTAGTCTTTGTAGTAGGCCAGGTGATGAGGGACTCTATGATATTCATGGCTCAATTTTACAAATTTTGGTTGATGTAAGGATTAATTTTGTTAGTACACATTCATTGAAAAAAAAAGAAGGAACAATAGACTTAAAAGAGAGACACCGGCAGTGATTTTTTAGATAAAAGCATCCTTCCTTATTGAAGAGGAATTGCTGCAAAGCTCCTTTACACAGCTAGCTCTCCGTGCAATTAAAATGATCGAAACATTTCTGTAACACATGCACTGAGATACACCTGTACTCATGCTTCGTCCGTCAAAACAATCTTTGTTTTCTCTCAAGCTAGGACTCGCTATATCTAAGAGATGCCTCGAGCAGCGGTGGCAACGGGGAGGAGAGTGGTGAAGGTGCTGGGGTGACAGCCTGGAGGGCACTTTCCCTTTCTCCGGCTCCTTAACCAAAATTTCGCAGCCGCTAGCCCAGATTTAATTTTCCCGCTCGTTCTTTTTTTCCCCCCTGCCTCAACTCTCACTGCACCCCTCAGGCTCAATCCCGCTCTAGTCTGTCCACTTCGGCTCACCTGCTGCCCGCCTCCCTCCCCGCGCCCCCCGCCTCTACCCGCGTCGCCCGCCCACCCTGGGAACGCAGCTCTGCGGGCAGCCGGCCGCGAGCCCCGTCGTGGCGCGCCGCTGCGGGGCATGCGCGCTGCGGCGCCACCGCCCTCCCCCACGCCTTCCCGCGGCAGAGTTATGCCAAGTATGTGAGGAGCCGGCGAGGGCCAGCGCCGGTCATGGGGAGCCGCCGCCGCCGCCTGCACGGCTTTCTCTGCAACCCGGCTCCGACCTCTCCGCACGGCGGGGGCGAGCCTAGCCGCTGAGGCAGAGGGGATGGCGGACCCTCTGAGGAGGACGCTGTCTAGGCTCCGGGGAAGGCGCGGTTCCCGCGGCGCCGGGGGGCTCGGGCTCCGGACGGCCGCTGCAGCTACGGTGGCGACTTCTTCGGTGGCTGAGGGAGACGCCTGGGGTGGTCCGGACTCCTCCGGACGCGAGCACAGCGGGGAAGCCCAGCCGAGCCTGACGCAGCCTCCGCCGTCACCTGAGGTGTGGAGCCCCGAGGCGCGGGTCCGCGGAGGGCGCCCGGGGCAGTCGGGGGCGCTCGTGCCGCGGCCGCGCGGCGGGCAGAAGGCCGTCTCTCGGGGCCACGGACCCGTTTGCGCCTCTCCGCACGCCTCGCCGGGCTCCTGGGGCAGCAGAGAGGAGGAGGAGGACTCCGAGGACTACGACGCCGACTACTACGAGAACCTGCCCGGCGGCTCTCCGCCCGCGCCCGAGCCTGAGGGGGCGGAGGCGGAGCGGCGGCCCCCGCCTCTCCCGGCGGCGGGCTCCTCCCCGGGGGCGGAGGGCGGCCGCCTGGAGACAGGCAGGCTGCAGACCCAGTTGCGAGAGGCCTATTATCTGCTGATCCAGGCCATGCACGACCTGCCCCCTGACTCTGGCGCGCGGCGGGGTGGCGGGGGCTTGGCGGATCACGGCTGCCCTGCGGGAGCCCGGGCTCCGGGCCAGCCGCCTTCCCCCAGCGGCGCTGAGGACCGCCTAGCCTGCCCCCGAGCCTGGGAGCGGGGAGGCGGCGACCGCCCTGGGCAGCAGGTGTCCCCACCCCGGTCGCCTTCGAGGGAGTCGGGGGGAGGCCGGCTGCAGACTCCTCGGATGCGGCTGCCCTGCAGCAGAAGCCTCGAGAGCCTCCGGGTGTGTGCCAAGCCGCCTCCCTTCCAGCGGTGGCCGAGCGACAGCTGGATCAGGTGCGGCGCGCGGCGCGGGGACTGGGACGAGCCCCCGCCACGTGGAGGCAGGATGGACGGCTGGCGCGGGGGCAGTGCCCGGACTGTGGCGCCCGCCGGCCTCCTGCCTCTGGGCTCCGAGGACCCCGGCCGCTCGTCGGGAACCCCTTTCAGGGATCCAGCAGGGTCCTCTGTGTTACGCGGCGGCAAAGGAGACCTCCAGGAGGGGCCCCCCTTCCTCAGGCCGCCTGCGGTGACAGTCAAGAAGTTGCAGAAGTGGATGTACAAAGGACGCCTGCTGTCTCTGGGAATGAAGGGTCGCGCCCGTGGGACGCCCCCCAAACTCACGGGAGCGCAGGCTTCCTCCCCAAATCTGGGCGCTTTGAAAGCGCATGAAAACCAAGTCCTCTCCGTGCCTCCAGACCAAAGAATTACACTCACAGGTATGATTCTATGCAATCAAAATGCTAGCACCACGAGCCTTAATGTTTACCAACTGGGTTTCTGACTTAAGAGCCAAGAATAAAAGATACGCTTTTACAGACAGGTACGTTACATGTGCCAAAGTAAGTGTCATGTAGAGTGGCAGCTTAAAGCGATTTCAAGGTTACTTAGTATAATGTATTTACTTATTTTGCTTTTTTTTTTTTTTTAAGACAATGGCATGAAGAATTGGGGTTTTTGTGTTTTCTTCTCTAAAAACCAGTATGCCTCCTCCTTAAGTACAACAGTGAGTAAAGGTTAAGTTCACCACACATTTTAGAAGGATGCACGGTGCTACCTTAATTTTTATTCTCTGTAGCTCTAGGCAAATCCATAGACTTTTGTGGAGTTTGTGAATTTGAATTTGAACCAAGATAGATTTTATAGACGTCGTAAACTGTCATTTTACTCATTACAACTTTTTTCACTCTTAGACACACACACACACACACACACACACACACCCACCCACCCACCCAAAAAGCCAAAATAGACCAAACCAAAAAACCTACCATAAGTAAAACTTCTTTTTAGTCAGGTATAATTTCACATACTCCTTCTCTCCACCTGCTTCCCCTTCCCCAAGTACTAATCTTTTTATTGTGGAAAATCTAGAACCCTGGTATTTTACTCAAAAGAAAAATGTCCTTCATGTGCTTTTGGAAAAAAAAGTGCAGACACTCAAAGTCATTTGTAAACTTAAAGAAACTCTATTTATATTAGAAGTAAATCAGTTTTTTAAAAAAGTATATTCGTCCTTAGTCCTTACAATAGGATTATGCTTCCTTTTTGGTATGTGCATGATTTTTAATTGTCAGGAAGGTTTAGGTTATCAATTCTAGAAATATCTTAATTATGTTGTAAATATCAAAAATTCTTTTCTGAAAGGAGTATAATACCTTCAAAGTGAGCCAAAACATCATGGCTTTTTGAACTACACACTTAAATATAAAGATTTTTTAGTGATCATAAAGACTTAAACGTAAGTAATAATTTTAAAAACATGTAAATGCTGAAATGTAAAAGGTATTTACAGCACTTGGCACTTTCTCTGGTAAGAAGTACAAATCCTGAAGGACTGGATTTATATACACATTAACTTTGTTTAACCAATAAGCACACAACGTTGGGGAGAATTAAAGTTCACAAAACTTCTTATCAAACAATGAGGACAAATCAAATGATTCATTTAAATTGTGTGCCAACTTGAAAAGTTTTTTTGGGGGTTTATAAACCTAATACATACCTGTCAAGTTGTATCCTCAAGTTTAAATACTCCATTTCACTTGAACTAAAGGATAGAATATAAATATTTTGTGAAGAGAGATGCACTTTATTTTACTAAGTTCATATTAACCATATGCATTTCCAGGAGTAAAGTATTTGTAATCCTTTGTTATATTTAATTGCCACAATATCTTTACCTCCCCTGATTTGGGTTCAGTTAACTCTTTGTGTGATAGTTGAATTTCAGCCATAGCACAAATCTGTTTAATAGTCAAAAATTTTTTCCCTTTTGTTGCAAAGGTAAAACATTTACCATTTGATGGCTTTTAATGCCCTCAGAAGTAAACATACAGGAATTTAAAACGTAATAAATGTAGTCCCTCTAAGAATGGGTTTATTTTTCCATAAAGAAACTAATTGAATTGAAGCTGCTAACTTTAAAAGAAATTAAAATGAAACAAATACTAAATGAAAGTGTTTTGGATAATTTTACAAGAAATCTAAGCCAAAGCTTATATTTGGCTTAGCATCTCTGGTTTAAACAACTTTCTCAGATGTTATTTCCTTTCAAATCACTAATTTATCTTTTAGGAAAGATGAAAATAGTTTATGCAATGTTTACATACCTGGTATAATTTTGGAGAGTTTTTTTTTTTTTTTTTACTGTTTTTCATGAGTTAGTTCTTACTAAGACCATTCTGGATACTTTTGTGGTTCTCATATAATCTTTATTACCTGCCCTCCCACACATACCCCTATTGTGATATGAGAGCTGTCATTTAACAACAGAGGGAACAGAGGGATTAAGTAGTTTGCCCAGGGCTACTCAGCTGGTACCTATAAATGGATTCAAACTCTTATGTGGATTCAAACTCAGGTCTTCATGATTCCTAAGCCTCTATTTATATAAGGTAAGAGAGACTCTAAAGTTCTTGAGGTTTGATCCAGTTAATTCTGTTAAGTTGCTTAGATTGAGGTGTATGGAATTTCAACAAGGTTTAGAGGGGTGAGTGGCTTACTTCCTCTAAATTGCAAAGAAGGGGGGGGAGTCTTAGAACAGGTTTTAAGACATTTTTAAAGTAATCACTGTATCCATTCAAAATTTTTATCTTTAAGTGTTTATTACTTTGAATTGTTACTTGGAGTCTATTAATACTTTTAAGTCATATTTTCTAAAAAGTTATTGGAGCAGTCTAAATAAAGTAGTACATTCCTGGTTGATAAAGATGTTCAATATACTAAAAGGTTTGTATCACATTTTTCTGTACAATATTATTCATGAGGATATTTTCTTTCAAAATAAAATTATACTTAGAATTTATAGTACAGGATAACTATATAATAGGGTAGAGATACCTAATCTACATAGGCATTTTGAAAAGTTTTGAGACTATGACAGATAGAAACCAAAATGATTTTCTATTTTGATTTCTGGCTCCTGTTAAGAACTTTTGATGGTATTATAATGCCAGTAATTTGATGCAGATACAGTATTCACAGATTGGCCAATTTGTTCTTAATTGAGATGATTATTTAAGAAATTTAAAGTCATTACACATAGTAAATATTGTCAAGTTTCTGCAAGCCTTAAGTTTAGGAAGGAATCTTAATCTGTTTGCCAACTATACTTCATTATAAATCTATATAAATAAGTTTTAATTAGCATATAGTTCTCAGAAAATCAAAAGCATCAGGTTGATTTATTTCAGCCTTTTATTGTTTTAAAAAGTAATTAGCCTACTTTGACTCCGCTTTTTCTGATGCATGATCTCTGAAAGAAAAAATTCAGTCTGTATAACTTGTTAATATTTTGTCTAAAAATTTTAGACATTCCTTTTAAGGTAGTATTAGCTGGTATGATCTTGATTATCTTAAAGTGAAGTTGACACTGATTATGATTCCCATCTACGTTTCTTTTCTCAGATATTTGTAGCTCTGATTTCTCATCTGTATGAGCTACATAATTTTTTTGAATTTTTCCAGCAAGTTCTTTCTGTACTGGCCTTTTCAAGATTAGTAACAACAGGTATATAGTTTTTGATAGTCTTCTGCCTTTAAATCTCTCTCTGAGAGATTCTGCCATTGTAGCACTAGAAGCAAGTGCAGTTGCTTTTTTATATTTTGGAAAAGTGCCATGGAACATTGGAGTTGCTGGTGGCTGGAAAACTTTGAGTATTTCAAATTCAGCAGAAAACAGTGTTGTTGATTTAAAAGTCCTACATTTCTAGATCAATGATTTCCAGGGGATGTCTGGTATTTATTTTTTGAGAATCATGAAGGCTATTTTCTAGACCTTTGCCATTCAAAGTGTAGTTCACTGTTTTGGAGCAGTGCTTTTCAAATTTAATGTGCATGTGAATTCCCTGGAAATCTTGTTCAAATATGAATTTAATAGGTGTGAGGTGGGACCCGAGATTCTGCATTTTAACAACTTCCCAGTGTAGATGTAGTAAGGTTCTAGAACCCCAAAGTTTTAAAAAAGCATTTTGCCTTATTCTGATACTTGATACTTAACGCCTATTAGAGCAAAGCACTTGAGCTCTTTTTGCTTCAGTTTTATATGTATGAATTAATGCTTATTGCTCATATATGTTGACTTTGAGTAGTTCCCTCCACATTGGACTCATTTTGCACCAATAAATATTAGTGAGATTTTACAATCTGCAAGTCATATTAAGTCTGCAAGAGAGGAGGCCATGTAATATAATGGTTAACAGAATAGAGATTCTGGGTTTCTGGTCAGATTCCACCACTTACCAGGCTTGTGACTTGTATAAGGTACTTAACCTTGTGTAGCCTCAGTCCTCAGGTTGCTATGAGGTTGAAAAAAGATAATCCATTTGGTACTGTGCCGGGTGCTTAGTTAGCTGTTATTATTGAAAGGGAGGCAAGCAGGCTGTGTTAGAGTACTGCTTTGCCCCAGATTATTAGGATTCTGGATAGAGAGTGAAAAGATCAGAGTTGAGGAGTGCTGCCTTGAGGAGCATTGGGAATTGAGCTAGAGTATACCTTTTTAGGGGTACTTATTTATTCTGCTCATCTTTTCTTTTGTGCTTATTTCTCTTGTTCCTCCCCATTACTTTTGTGGAACTGAAAACAGTCTCAAAGTTTTCTTCTCTACTTTCCTGTCTCAAAAGCTAGCACACAGCTTTCTTTCTTAAGGGTTCTTATTCTTGCTAGTCGCAAGGGAAGAAAAATAAAAGAGAAAGTGATTCTTTCCTTTTCATTCTACCCCTTTCCACCTTTTAGATTTATCTAGGAAAGATAAAGACTCACACACATACACACACACACAGAAATCTAAGGCTTAAGTTTATTCTAGTCATTTTATCTGGGCTGTCAGGCTTGACTTTGTAAGCAGTGGATGCTTATATATATTTAGATGTAAGATTTTAATAAACAGGGCCGGGCACGGTGGCTCACACCTGTAAATCCTAGCACTCTGGGAGGCCAAGGCGGGTGGATTGCTCGAGGTCAGGAGTTCGAAACCAGCCTGAGCAAGAGTGAGACCCTGTCTCTACTATAAATAGAAAGAAATTAATTGGCCAACTAATATATATATATACAAAAAATTAGCCGGGCATGGTGGCGCATGCCTGTAGTCCCAGCTGCTCGGGAGGCTGAGGCAGGAGGATCGCTTGACCCCAGGAGTTTGAGGTTGCTGTGAGCTAGGCTGACGCCATGGCACTCACTCTAGCCTGGGCGACAAAGTGAGACTCTGTCTCAAAAAAAAAAAAAAAAAAAGATTTTAATAAACAAAATGTTTAATGCTGTTAAAACACATATTTAAATATCTAATATGATGTTCATAAGCATTCTTTTATTTAGTATTTTTAAAGAGAGGTTAAAAGAAGCAACAGTTTGTTTCTGCAGTAGAAATTTTTTCCAACATGAATTTTGGGGGGAAAACCCAAAAAACAACAAAAAAAGAAATTTTAAAAAGACATCTGTTGATACTACACATATTCAGTGAGGGTTCAAATACATACTTTATTAGAAAATTTGCTGATGCTTTTGAGCTGGAGCACTAGTTAAATGTTCAGTAATAGTAAGTCATCTAGATTTATTTTGAAATAATAGTTGAGAAAACAAAATTGGCTTGAGTAGTTCACCACTGCGTGGAATGTTTTTTTGAATGAAAAATTTCTAATTGCTATGTATAGTTACAAGAGAATAAAGAGGTCTCCCACTGGACTTTCTTAAGGGAAAGGACTGTTATTCATTCTTATTTCCCTTCTGCTTAAGTTTATGCCAATAATAATAGCTGTGTTGTGCTCCCTGTAAGGCAGCATATCTGGTTCTAATCTGAATCCTTTTTAAGAGATTTTTATTTTGCCCTAGATATTTAGAACTTAAACCCTACTTAAGGTGCTACTATGCTATATGGTTAGGAAACTAATGTTATGTTGAAATTTTAATGATCAGTAAGGCACATTTTTTTGTTAGGTTATTAAAACAATTTTTGTTTGAAAGGGTAGGAGTATTATTTGTATTTTCTATAGACTTCTGGTCCTTGTAATAGTTTAAATTTATTCACATTTAATTAAAGCCATACTATATACAAAGAATTCTATATAAGCTTTTTCTAAATTATGTTTTACTTAGGATAAGGCTTTGTTAGCAGTATAGTTTCCTTTTTATTTTTTTTATTTATTTATTTATTTTTGGAGACAGAGTCTCACTTTGTTGCCCAGGGTAGAGTGACTGCCATGGCATCAGCCTAGCTCACAGCAACCTCAATTTCCTGGGCTCAAGCGATCCTACTGCCTCAGCCTCCCGAGTAGCTGGGACTACAGGCATGCGCCACCATGCTCGGCTAATTTTTTCTATATATATTTTTAGTTGGTCAATTAGTTTCTTTGAGAGGGGGGTCTTGCTCGGGCTGGTTCGAACTCCCGGCCTTGAGCAATCCACCTGCCTCGGCCTCCCAAAGTGCTAGGATTACAGGCGTGAGCCACCGCGCCCGGCCAGCAGTATAGTTTCTATAAAGACAGTCTCAGAGTTTTTCTTTTAGAATTCTTGGACACTTATACTAGCAGTCTGATTTCTAAATCATAGAAACCATATTTAGATAGAAAATTCAAATTTTTTCTAGTTCAGTTTTAGTCTCTGAATGTAATTAATAATACTTCTCTTTCTTTTTCTTCTTTTTTAAGATTTTAATACCTGAAGTGATATGTCTTTCCTGGTATGCTAGGCTTTATATTCTACCTTCTGTTCTTCTTTGAAACAGATTTATTTGAAAATGTTTATGGGTCTTCAATGAAGAGAAGGGAACTTGAAGATCTAAAGGATAATATTGAATTCAGAGGTCATAAGCCACTTAACAGTATCACTGTTTCAAAGAAACGCAATTGGCTATATCAGAGTACTCTGAGATCTTTTAATCTGGAAGAAGAAAATAAGAAATGCCAAGATAGAAGCCCGTTATCCATCTCACCTGTGTCTCTACCTAAACATCAGCGATCACAGCCTTTCTTCAAATCATCTGAAGAATACTGTACATATATGGTGTGTAATGCTACAAACTCTTCATTATCAAGAAACTGTTCTTTAGACTTTAATGAGGAAAATGATGCAGATGATGAAGGAGAAATATGGTACAACCCCATTCCTGAGGATGATGACCTTGGTTTATCCAGTGCCTTGAGTTTTGGTGAGGTAAACTCTGCTGTTCTGAAGCTTCCTGCTGTTAGTTTGAGCATGTTGCCTGGTAGTGGCCTGATGAAACCAGAGTCCCATACTGAAGACTTGCTGTGCTCTTCTGAACACATAAGTGATATTCAAGCCATGCCATCAAATGTAATGAATCCTATACATTCCATCCATTCCACAGAATTTGTGCAGCAGTACAAGCAAAGGGTAGGACCCAGGACACAAGAAGCTACAATGGTGGAGGATAGTTCCATGTTAAAATCTCCTTTTACAGGTAAAAATGATTATATATTTGCCTTTTCTTTCTTATTTCACTTTTCAATTCTTTGATAGCTCAAACTACAGAAGTCTATTATGTTTATGTACTTTTTCTTACAAAGTGAAGATATTTCATGAAAATAAAAAAAACTCAAAAAGGTTTATAAACATTTTTATATACATGCTGGTTTAATTATTCCTATCACAGATTTGATTTTATAATCTGGTGTGCTTTAGTATGTTGATCCTTTGAGACAGTAATTGCTTTTCTCTTAGTTGAAAGAATGGAATCATGGGGAGTAGAAGAGAAAGATATCATCTTTAAATCTTATTTTGCTTCCTTCATTCATTCATTCATTCATTCATTCATTCATTCATTCACAGCTGGCCTAGCCTCAGCTGGAAAGTTGTATTTTCAGTGTACCAGTGATCATTAGTTTGTGTTTTTATGCCTAAGTTTCCTTATGAGCTAAGAAAAGGGAGAATAAAAAAAGAAATGAAAAGTAGAAGTAAAGACTTTGCAGATAGGGGCTATTATAGTTATGGAACTGAAAAGGAAAATAATTGAAGTTGAACTATATGAAATTGCTGATGTTCAAAAGTTTTTGATCTGCAAAAGAAAGCATTGCATATAGTTCAACTTATGGTTTTATTCTTCCTTGATTGCCTTCAATTTTCTAATGTGTTTCTTTTAGTCTCAGATACACTACCGAGGAAATAGAGCATAGGGCACATTTGGTTGCAAATATCAAATGTAGAATAGGGAGCAATTCTGACTTATATCAAGTTATTTTAATTTATACAAGTTCAAATAATGGAGAATATTTAAAGATTTGGGGTGTAGCAGATGCTGTCAGTGCCTTGCCCCATATCCCTTGTGTTTTATTACTTTATTTACCATTTAAATGGGGAAAACCTATTTCCAGCCACCAGTATCTGCATCTCTGCTTGAGGACTCTGAAGTCTTAGGGAATCTCTGTGCAGGGCAGCCTTGCACAGAGAAAGAGAGAAAATGAAGTACTATATAAAATAATACTTTGGAATGCAGGTTGTGGTCTGGGCAGAGTGATAGTGAAGGCTGTAGTATCACATGGGTGTGGAATGGTGCGGAGAAGGCAAGAGGGTGTATAAGGATAAGAGCAAAGTTAGAAAGCCAGTGTCTGTTAAGTGACACATATTTTAAGTTACTTTCCTTCAGCTTACTTTTTTATGTTTGTAGCAAATTATAAACCTGGAAAGACATTTAAAAAAAACCAAAACTTAAAAGTGCGGTATGGATGCCATTTATGTTTCCTTTCTTACTGTCATTCTTCTCCAAAACATGTAATTAAAATATAATAAGCACAATCCTAAATTGACCAAGGGAAATATTTAGACAGTTTATTTATATGCCATCTTTTTTTGTTTTATATAGATAGAAAGTTTACCTAAAGTGATATGTTTTTCTTGGCAATATTGGCAGAAAGTTGTTGAGAAGTTGGCAAAAAGAATGATTAAATTTCAAAATAATTTTTTGATTAGAGAACCTGAAAGCTAATTTATAAGTATTTTGAATGTGAACAAAAATTTTAAAAATCATACTAACACAATTACGCCTTATGTTTTGCTTATTAACTTCTCAGTGTATATGTATCTTTTATCTAGTTGTAATCATTAGTGGATTTTTTTGCTATTTTCATTTGATATCTTCATCTTTCATGGTTACATGTGAATATACATTATTGTTTTTCAAACGTTATAGTATAATATTTAATTGGACTGATGTGTGCCCTAATCTATTTGACCTGTTTCCCTAATGTTGGGTGTTAATAAATTGTTTCCAGTGCTATTGCAGTGATCTTCATCATGTTATTTTTTGTTTCGTTAGGCTCAATTACTAGTATCATTACTTGGTCTTTATGGCTGGTAACTATTATTGGGAGTTCCTATATCGTAGTTTCTAAAAGGTTTACCAATTTACACTTGGTTGGTTGATTAATTCATTTATTTACTAAATATTGTATTCCTGCTGTCAGTTACTGTTCTAGGTGGTGAAGGAGCATGCCAGTTTCACTTGACTCTAGCCTCGTTCATAAGTTGTTATTTAAAGATTTTCATTTTGTGCTTTCTTCTTAAAGCTAGTGTACGATTTGATTAGTATAGTTGTAGTTTAATTTTAAGTGATTGTGGCATTTGTTAATATTTCAGCTCTTGGATTTTATAAAAACAAAGCATTTTTGTTTTAATACATTCATTCTTGTCTGCAGTAGAAGTTGCTATTATGTACAGTATTTCATTTTAATAATTAGTTAAGGACTTCAGTAGGAATTATTTACTGACAATGTATAAATAGAGTCAGAATGTTAAAGTCAATAATTTCAAAAAATCTAGAGCCATTTAATATATAGGATAGCTTTTCTAGGCTAGGGAAAAATAGATTAATGGTTGTAGACTAAACAGTACCCTGATTACTATACAATGTTTAGTAAGCCAGTGGAATTATACTATGATTAGCAGTACAAGGGGATGCTTTGTCCATTTTATTAAATACTCTATTTTTTATTAGCTGCTTACCAGAAAAGCCCAGTAAACATACTTAAAATAGTCCTCTCTCTGTAAAGACACTGCTTCTTTGTCATTAGGACACATGGAAAGGGTATGGAGGGAGAATATTAATACTTTAAAGAAAGGTTATTTCATCTATCGATTTTTTTTTTTTTTTTTTGAGGCAGAGTCTCGCTTTGTTGTCCAGGCTAGAGTGAGTGCTGTGGCATCAGCCTAGCTCACAGCAACCTCAAACTCTTGGGCTCAAGCAATCCTACTGCCTCAGCCTCCCGAGCAGCTGGGACTACAGGCATGCGCCACCATGCCCGGCTAATTTTTTTCTATATATTAGTTGGCCAATTAATTTCTTTCTATTTATAGTAGAGACGGAGTCTCGCTCTTGGTCAGGCTGGTTTCGAACTCCTGACCTCGAGCAATCCGCCCGCCTCAGCCTCCCAGAGTGCTAGGATTACAGGCGTGAGCCACCGCGCCTGGCTCCATCTATCGATTTTTTTAAATGAATAAATATTTTTTTCTCATTTTACTTGTGAAATGCCATGTTACATAGATTAGCTTCTGCTGTGATGGTTATTAGATCTTCCTCTATAAGGAATGGTTAAATGAAGTATGAAAAATGAATTTAAATTTTACATAATTGGGATAATATTGTATTCTCCTTCAACACAGTCATGGAGTTTGACCTGAACATCTATCTAAATCTCCCCATTGAGGTGAAATAAGGGAATAATTTCTGTCCATGTGAGAGCTTATTTAGTTGATGGTTTATAAAATAGCAATAAAAGTAGAAATCAAAACATACCACCTTACAATATCTTTTTTTTCTTGTTTTTTAAAGGTCCTGGGATCCTAGCTTCTACAAGTAGGACTGAATTGGGAGTTACAGAACCATCTTCTCCAAATCCTAGCCCTGTGAAAAAAGGCAGTTCAATTAATTGGTCTTTGCCAGATAAAATAAAATCTCCACGAACTGTGAGGAAACTTTCCATGAAAATGAAAAGATTGCCAGAATTTAGCCGAAAACTGAGTGTTAAGGGAACCCTGAATTACATAAACAGTACAGATAATACTCCTTCTTTGTCTAAATGTAACTATCAAGAAATTCATCATACTGTTATTCTACCTTCTGGGAACACAACCACAGCTGCTAGGAGGAATGTTATAAGTCGATACCATCTTGATACCAGTGTATCTTCTCAGCACAGCTACCAGAAGAAAACCTCTGTGAGTTCTAAGTATTCCTGCAAAGGAGGTTACCTCAGTGATGGAGACTCACCTGAACTTATAACTAAATCTGGCAAACATGGATCTGAAAACAAATTTGGAAAAGGAAAAGAAATAGTTTCTAATAGTTGTAGCAAGAATGAAATAGATATTGATGCTTTTAGACATTATAGCTTTTCTGATCAACCTAAATGTTCACAGTATATATCTGGGCTCATGAGTGTGCATTTCTATGGTGCTGAGGATTTAAAACCACCCCGCATAGATTCAAAAGATGTCTTTTGTGCAATTCAGGTAGATTCAGTAAACAAAGCAAGAACAGCTTTGCTCACCTGTCGGACAACATTTTTAGACATGGATCATACTTTCAACATAGAAATTGAAAATGCACAACATTTGAAACTAGTAGTATTTAGTTGGGAACCCACGCCAAGAAAAAATAGAGTTTGTTGTCATGGAACTGTTGTTCTCCCCACATTATTCAGAGTGACAAAGACACATCAGTTGGCTGTCAAACTTGAACCCAGAGGTCTTATTTATGTGAAAGTGACTCTTATGGAACAGTGGGAGAATTCTCTTCATGGGCTAGATATCAATCGAGAACCAGTAATATTTGGAGTTGATATTCGAAGAGTTGTGGAGAAAGAAAATATAGGATTGATGGTGCCACTCCTGATACAGAAATGTATTATGGAAATTGAAAAGAGAGGCTGTCAGGTATTATTATTTCACTAATGTTTCTCTACTACCTCCTTTATTCACTGATTGATTGATTGTAAGTCTTAGGAGAAGGAATTCAAAGTAAGGTAAAAAAAAAAAATCTAATTTAGACATTTTCCCATTCCTATTCTTTTTTTTTTTTTTTTATTTTTGAGACAGAGTCTCACTTTGTTGCCCAGGCTAGAGTGAGTGCCGTGGCGTCAGCCTGGCTCACAGCAACCTCAATCTCCGGGGCTCAGCGATCCTACTGCCTCAGCCTCCCGAGTAGCTGGGACTACAGGCATGCACCACCATGCCCGGCTAATTTTTTGTATATATATATTTTTTAGTTGGTCAATTAATTTATTTCTATTTTTGGTAGAGACGGGGTCTCGCTCAGGCTGGTTTCGAACTCCTGACCTTGAGCAATCCGCCCGCCTCGGCCTCCCAAAGTGCTAGGATTACAGGCGTGAGCCACCACGCCCGGCCTCCATTCCTATTCTTTATTTTTATTCTATTACTGTTTAGGGTATAATTCATACCTATGTTGTCAATGATTGAGAGCATGCTAGATGATTCCACAATATAAGTTGTAACAAAGCATTACATGGGTCTTAGAATTAGAGGTCAGGATTGCTTTCTAATTGCACTTCTAGGAAATGCCAGAGCTGATAACATAGGTAAAGGCTAATTTACTTATGAAATGTTTCTTCATGTTTTGACATTCCTTTGAGAGATAGTTCTAACAGTGAATCATACAGCCTTGCTTCACTCCCAAAATTAACTTGCTGCCCTTATTCCCTACATTCTCTTAGTCCCACTCTTTAGAAGACACAAAATTATCTGTCTCTTTACTTTGAGATAGCATGGAGGATGAGGTCCTGCTAACAGGAACACATCTCATTCTCTTTTTTTTTTTTTTTTTTTTTTTTTTTGAGACAGAGTCTCGCTTTGTTGCCCAGGCTAGAGTGAGTGCCGTGGCGTCAGCCTAGCTCACAGCAACCTCAAACTCCGGGGCTCAGCAATCCTACTGCCTCAGCCTCCTGAGTAGCTGGGACTACAGGCATGCGCCACCATGCCCGGCTAATTTTTATATATATATCAGTTGGCCAATTAATTTCTTTCTATTTATAGTAGAGACGGGGTCTCGCTCTTGCTCAGGCTGGTTTTGAACTCCTGACCTTGAGCAATCCGCCCGTCTCGGCCTCCCAAGAGCTAGGATTACAGGCGTGAGCCACAGCGCCCGGCCTCATTCTCTTTTAAATATGAAGGCAAAGGCAATCCATTAAAACAAACAAGAAATCTGATGTTATTCGTAATAAGATATGTAAATGTTAATTAATAGACCTTATCTTTATTTTTGTTAATACTTGTGGACTATAACAATGAGAAATGGCATATCACTGAGGATATTATTCTGAGGTATAAGTATTAATATAGTTTATGCTAGTTTTCATGATACCTATTAAAACTAAAAATCATTATATTCTAAGTTATTTCTGCTTTAGTGCTATCAGAATTTACAACATTGGTTAAAAAGATAAAAGACAATGAGGGTAAATATTACAAAATCTGAAATATGATTTCTTTATTTAATAAACTCACCTTGAACTTAACATGGAAACTATAGAAACAGCACAGGTTAGTGAAGTTTTGCATTAAGATGCAGAAGACCTGGATTCTGGTTTCTCCTCCATTATTATTTAGCTATGTGACCTTGGGCAAGTCACTTAATCTTTGTGGGTCTTATTTGCTTATATCTATAAAAATAGATACAGTAGTTTCCTGAGGCTAAGAGGAAACATCTGAACTTTTGAAACTTCTTCTAACTCAGATGCATGATTCTATCTCTAGATAGAATCTTTTAAAGTCATCTGAACTTTTGGAACTTCTTCTAACTCAGATACATCATTCTATCTCTAGTTTATTTTGGCTATGTAGGAGTGAGGCCTTTACTTTCCAATCCAACTTTTGGTCAATTATTTTTCTTTCTTAAGATTCTCTGTTTTTTCCTTCATTTTTTTCTTTTTTCAGGCAGTGTGTAGAGAGTTCAGAGATTAGGTAGACTTTAAAGCTAATTATTAAACAGAAACTTTTATAGTTGAATATTAAAATAAGTAACTCAAATGGCACTGTACTTTTATAGTCTATTTTCTGAAATATTTATAAAGAGCAGGTGTATAAAGACTGTTAACACTTAAGTGCCAAAAGAACATTTTTAGTAATGCTTTTTATTTTTATACTTAAAGTTTAGAGAGATTTATTTTAATAAAGATTTTCTGTGAACTAAAAAGTAAGTTTTACTGTTGTGCATTTGTACTTTTTAAAGACCTTTTTTGTTTCATTTCCTTTGCTTCTTCCTTTCCCTACCTACACACACACACACACACGCACACACACGCACATATACACATGCACACACACACACACATACACATAGAGGCTTATTATGCCTATATTTTACAGGCTGGCATACTACTTAAATTTTGAGTACCAGCCAGGCATAGTGGCTCATGCCTGTAATCCCAGCACTCTGGGAGCTGGAGGCAGGAGGATTGCTTGAGGCCAGGAGTTTGAGAACAGCTGGGGCAACAGAGCAAGACCCTATCTCTACAAAAAAATAGAAAAATTAACCAGGTGTGGTGGTATGCATCTGTAGTTCCAGCTACTCTGGAGACTGAGGCAGGAGGATTGCTTGAGGCCAGGAGTTTGAGGTTGCAGTGAGCTATGATTGTGCTACTGTACTCCAGTCTGGGTGACAGAGTGAGACCCTGTCTTAATTAAAAACAAAAAAAAGAAATTTTAAATATTTTTTTATTCACTTAATTATCATTTGTTCACCATGTAAATAGGTTTTGATAGTCATACAAAAATAGTTGGTAGCATGGGTCTTTGTATCTTCCAAAGGCTTTGAATGCTACTACTGCCCATCTCCTGCTTCCTTTGGAAAAATTACTGCAGTAATCACACTCACGGTCCACTCAGGACAGATTCTGTCTCTGATAGAGGCATTGAGTATGTACTTCAAGGGTTTGATTCAAGAAGTCAGCATCTGAAGTTAGGGATATATCCTTACATATCCTTTCCTTGAAATACCTATGTTACATCTTCCTTTATTCATCTTCTTAAAAAATTATATTTGTAGTTTTAGCTTTTTAGGATAAAATGTTCCATTAATTTACTGCCTACTATTTAAGTAGTACTTCCTTTAATTTGTTCTTGGTGCATCTCCTTCTTAAGTTCAAGGGAATACATCCTTATTATGGGATTTTATGACAGTTAAATGTGCCCACACCAAAAGGGCTATAATCAACTTAGTTTTTTTTATTGTGGTAATATTTTTTTGATCCCATTTAATATTTTAGTTTCATTCTCTTGGCCATCTACACTTTTACCATGTCTTTCCTGAGATGATGTGACCAGCATAACATACTGTTCTCAATGTGAATGTATCATGAATGTGGGTAAGAGTAGGAAATTTGAATTTTCTTCTTAGTATAATCCTTGGTTCTTCATATTATGCTGATACTTTTGAATGTAGCAGCATAATACACATTACTGTCTTTTAGAAATAGTTTTAGGTTCTTTACTAGTTTTCAATTAATACTTATATCTTATTATCTCATATATTTTGGATAACATTTCCCTCTGTCCATTGACAGGTTTCCATATTGAGACCTACCTTCTATAGTATATTCTATCAGTTCTTTAATGAATCAGAAGAAATTAGTGTCATAAGTACACCTAGAAATTTCATTTGTATTCTCCTTCCTCTGGATCATTTATAACAGTTTACAGTGATTCCTAGTTCAAATCCTTGAGGATTGTTTTTACTTTATTTCTGTATTGAAGTAATGTCTTTTTCCATAACTTTTCCTTCAATTCAAGGTGCTTGAGCTTCCTAAACAGTCTTTGATGTGGAAGTGTAGGTTACTACCACTCATTCTTCTTAATTTTTTGGAAGGTTTATTCTTTCAAAGAACTGTAATAGCTTAATCAGGCATGTTTTGTCTTTATAGATACCATGTTGATTTCCTTACAGTGAATTTATAGGGAATATCTTGATGCTTCATATTTTAGAATGTATATGGACTAACAGTGTTTAAAAACCACATCTTTTCAATGCAGGTTGATGGGATGGTAGTGTCTGCATCTTATATAAATTTTGAACTAGAGGTTTTTAATATATCTTTAATATATTATTTTAAATTTCCTTCATCACTTTTTTTTTTTTTTTTTTTGAGACAGAGTCTCACTTTGTTGCCCAGGCTAGAGTGAGTGCCCTGGCATAACCTCAATCTCCGGGGCTCAGCGATCCTACTGCCTCAGCCTCCCGAGTAGCTGGGACTACAGGCATGCGCCACCATGCCTGGCTAATTTTTTGTATATATATTTTTAGTTGGTCAATTAATTTATTTCTATTTTTGGTAGAGACGGGGTCTTGCTCAGGCTGGTTTCGAACTCCGGACCTTGAGCAATCCGCCCGCCTCGGCCTCCCAAAGTGCTAGGATTACAGGCGTGAGCCACCATGCCCGGCCTTCCTTCATCCCTTTTTATAATCAGTTACTTTGACAAGTTAAAAAAAAAAACCTAGGCTTGCTTTTATTTCTTCCTAAGAATCTTTTTTTTTTCTTAAAAAGCTTTACATAAGTAGTATACTAGAACCTTATTTCAATCATGTACTAATTTTAAAGATACAGAAACTGAGTTTTAAAGAGATTAAATAACTTGCCCAAATTCACCAAGGAAAGAGTGAAAGAATGGGGCAAAATCATTGTTCAGCCTCTGTGCTATATTACTTCAGTGTCGAACAGAGATGTGAAAGGTACATTCTTAGAGCATGGAAATATTGATTGAGCATGTAAAAGCTAAGGAGAAGGGATTGTATCTTTGCTTCATAATGATAGCCAACACTACAGAAATCACAGTGTATTGTTTGAATTTAAATGAAAGAATAGGATATTTTTATTAAACTAATCATTGCCAAGTTCATGTGATTTTATACTGTACTATTATATTTTGCCTTTATCAAATTTACCATAATGTGGCCATAATTTTATTTCTAGGTAGTAGGCCTGTATCGATTATGTGGTTCGGCAGCAGTCAAGAAAGAACTTCGAGAGGCTTTTGAGAGGGATAGCAAAGCTGTTGGTCTGTGTGAAAACCAGTACCCAGATATAAATGTAATAACAGGTAATAAATAGATTTTATTTTATGTATTCATTCTGGAAAGACTACATCTGCAAGAAAGAGAATTGAAATACTATTAGTAGCCTAAACTTTATTTGGTTTTATTATGAAGTCTTTTCTTTCATCACAAACACTACTTACTGTGTTATTTTCTGTGGAGCAATATTAAGCTATTGTCCCTTACCCTCAAATAGTCAACAGATGGTGGGGGAAATAAGACCTACTTTAAATTAGCTATAATAACGAGCAGAAAGGAAAAGGTATTTTCACAGAGGAATAAATAAAATATCATGGCAGTTGAGTTTGACTGGAGCTTAGGGCATTGACTATCTGGTTAGTGAATTTAGATTTATTTACTAGCCAGAGGGGATCCATTAAAGATTTTTGAGTAGAGGAATAAAATTATTAGAGATTGTTTTCGGGAATATTAATCTGGCAACTCTGTGATGGATTGATTTCAGAAGAGGCCAGAGGCAAGAAATCAGTTAGAAAGCCTTGGCAGTAGTCTCAGAAAAGAGGTGATAAGAGCTAAGGGAGGCTTGTAGCAGGAGAAATAGGAATGAGTAGAATCAAAAGGATGTCAAGAAAGCGAGGGCCCAAACAAACATGATTTTGAGGTCTAGTTGATTGGGTACCATTAGAAATGAGACTTCAAGGAGAGCCACTGCTCTTAGTGGGGAAATGTTTATGGGTGGGGAAAGATTGTGGGGAAAGATTATGGTTATGGTGGGGAAAGATTATGAATTGGGTTTTGGATATATTTGAAATATTGGTAGGAGATCCAAATGGATATATCAAAGTTGAAAGTGCTCATCTGCAGCTAATGAGAGAATGCAATAGAATTTGAGGGATCTTTTGTTTGCCCAAGTGGTGATTATAATCCAGTATATAGCATTGGAAATGTACTTCTGGTACCGCTGAGAGATGGGGCTGGGGTGCGGGGGATGGCAGTTTGAGGGTTACTGGCATATAGGTGTAATTAAAGCCTTGAGATTGTCCATAAAGTTGAAAAGACAAAAACTTTAAGGATCTCCAAACTTTCGAGGCAGGCAAAGAAAGAAGAAAAACCTGAAGAGATTGAGAAGAAAGGAGTCAAGTTTGGAAAATAAGAGACAACAGAGTTTAAGGAAAGGTATAATGCAGTGTCATTCTGTAGAGAGATTATATAAAATGTGAATAGAAAAAAGGCCTTTAATTTGGCCATTAGGAGATTGTTCATTACCTTATTGATAATCTTCAGGGCTACTGTGTTTGATTTTGTTGTTATTTTACTTTTTTAGTATCAAAGTTTTCAAGAGGGAAAGTAGAATAAATGATAAAAGCCCTTTGTCACCTGGTTTCCATAATATCAACATATAACCAAACTTATCTCATTCATACCCTTGCCATTTTATCCTCCCCAGCCCTAGATTATTTTGAAGCAAATCCCAGACATCATATCTTTTCACCTATAGATGTTTCAGTATGTATCTCTAGATCTTCTGTGTATTTTGATAGTTCTCTTCTTCCTGCTATCAACTGCCAAGTTTTTTTCTTGTTGTAATGGTGTTTGTTTATCTCTTCTAATTTGCATTCTTATTTTATACACAATTAATTGTCTGGGTGAGAATTTAAAGAAGGTTCACCTTGCACATATTAAAGAGATATTTTTGGTTGAAATCCTTAAAGCTTATTTTTAGGATTGAGGCTTTCTAAATAGTTGAGATTCCCACTCTCTGAATGCTGAATGACTATATTTTCATAGAGTATTAAATATATACTCTATACTCTTGGATAACCAAAGCATTTAATATTAAATACTAAGAGAAAACAAACCAAGGCGCTTTTTCTTTCTTATATATTTTAGCAAATCAGAAATAACAGGTTTGTTTTTTTTAATAGGGGAAGAGGCTTATTTCTACCCAAAAATGGGATGTCTTAAAAAATAGAATGTTCTTTCCTTGTTAATATATCATTTAAAAAATCAACAAAGGAACTATTTTATGAATTCATGAAAGAGAAATTTTATAAATACCAATTTCCAGAAAAGTACATACTATAAGTAAAAGTAGATTTTGTCTTGGGAAAGACTTCTCTTAGAAATAAAAATTATGTTAAACATATATAATTTAAAAAGATGAAATGAAAAGAGGGTCCTTAGTTTTGGAAATTTACAGCATATGCAGAACATATGAACAATTGGTCAATGCATGCTAGATTTATAGCATTCTTTTCTAAAATTGTGAGTTTCTGTAATTTGTAAGTTGAGTATTTCTTGGCTCCATTCCTTGTACTATTCCTTTTCAGTAAAGCTGTTTTTCAGAAGAATTTATAGCTATTTTCTTTCTTGATAAAAAGCCAATGAAGTGATTTAAGATTTGTCCGAGAAATATCATTGGAATTGCATGACACAAAGTCACTGTGGCTCAAAATAAAGGATATTGTTGATTTGGGGACTTGGCTGGTAGTGGTGTTGCCCCATGTGTTTGTTCCACATGAACTCACATTTCTGAGCAAACTTTGAAATATAATTAATAGTTCAGTAGGTCTAAAAAATGAGAAATTAATGAAGTGAGTGATAGAATTTGTTCACAGTTTAATGTGTTTTTTAGTAGTTTGGTTTGTCTGGAACACAGAATGAAATACTCCAGACAAACCAGGTTTTTTTCATCAAGTACAGAATTTAAGGTATGAAGCCTACTCATTTATGGGGCTTATGTACCAACGATAACAAGAGAATTTAGAAAAGTCAAAATACTTATTATTTAGTGATTATTAAAAAAAAATTGAGTCTTCTGAGGAGGAAATTTATTTATTTATTTATTTTTATATTTTTATTTTTTAAATTTATATTTTTATCTTTCTTTTTTTTCTGCCAGTGACTGCAAGTGGGATGAGGAGGAAATTCAATTTAAATGTGTTTGCTCACAGTAAGATAGATTTCATGTCAGTGCAACACAATCAGTATCTAGGTTTAGTACTTAAAAATTCATTTGGCCATGCCTTTTTTTGATTTAATCCTACTTTAATTATTTTTATCCTATCTGCCTTCAAAGGAAAATGTGATCAGAAATAAGCGAGAAATTATCTTTTGAACATTAATATTTTTCTGCCTTTTTACATATTAAATATACATTTTTCTATCATACATATTATATTTTCTCTGACCTCTGGCATATTAGCTTCCAAATTACTTCTGTTTTCCTTTAACTAGATTAAACATAGATGCTAAAACTGTAGAAAACACCAAGGAATGTGAAAAGTTAAGATATGGTCATATATTTATCAACCTATATGTCCTGAGGTTGTTTATGAGAGCCATTTGGTCTGAGTAACATGTATAGAGTATAACTAAAGTAAATGATAAGGTCAGAAAGAGTGAGGTAGAATAGGGTAGGTTAGGTTAATGGATTTTAAAAATTAATTTGTAGTTCTAACTTCAGAAAATGTCAGCAATTCAACATTCAAATCAACCTACTCTAATGTATCTTTTTACTGTGTATGTAAGTTTTACCTGCAAAAGAATGATGTTCATGAGTGCAATTATACATTTTCAGTGTTCTGAATCCAGTGTGTTAATTTTTTGTCATGCTAGATGCCTGTAGAGGATAAGGTCACTTTCCTAGGAGACAGAGTCTCACTTGAAGAATGAGGTTATTTAACATACTAATCTTCATAGTCCTGCAGTTGCTGTAGGAAGATGATATCCATCTATCCAGTCAGTATATATTGAGTGTTTACAATATGCAAGGTATTTTGCTAAGGCATTTAGACCACAGTGATGCATAAGAGGTCGTGTCCACCTCCAAGAGTATTAGTCTCAAGGGAAAGACAGACTCAGAAACAGCTAATTATAAAATGTAAGAAGGAGCACCTAACTTATCCTGGGAAAATTAGGGTAGACTTCCTGGAAGAGGTGATTTCTCAGCTAACTAATGAAGCGTGAGCTGACTTAGCCAGGCAAAGGTGGAAGGAGGGCAGTCTACTGGCAAACACTTGGAGATGAGAAACTACATGAAATAGACTTGCTAAAGAGTAAAGTACCAGGCAGGTGAGATGGTGAGCTATAGCTAGAATGCTTTCTCAGATGGGAACTCAGGACTGACAGGCTTATTTGGGAAAAACAGGGCTAGAATATGATCATTTTTATATTTTTTCTTTTTTCTGGAAAGTTAATTGGGTAAGTTTCCATGTAGTAGGTGATAGACTAGCATGAGCTCTGAGACATACAGGTAGCTAGGAGGACTGAAAGAATGGTAAGGAGATGGTGATGTGCCTACTCTTTGAAGTGAATGTTTGTAATTCTGTGATTTTTTTTTTTTTTGTATTCCTGTGTATTTGGTTAGAAAAAAAGCTTTAAAAAATTATCCACTTATGTTGTAGTGCTAAAAAATATTCGTTTGGGTTTTTTTCCTCCAAATCAGAACTGGTATTTTTAACCCTAGCACTATATATTCCTGGGGTCATAGCATGATGGTGGTAGTAGGAATCAAAGTAGGAATCATCTCACAGGAAAAGGGGAGTCTGTACATAGTAATGAGTAGAGTCTACTTAATCGCTTACCCCTGCCTATCTGGAAATTAATTAATTTGTTTATTTACTAAATGTTTATTGAACACTTACTATATGCCAGGCATTCTTCTAGGCACCAGGGACAAGTAAAGAAGATGAAGAATGTCTCAATCCTCATGTATGCATTCTAATAGTAAGATATACTAGCTTACCAGTGATAAGTAGGACAATGAGAATGATACTGATAGGTACTAGTGGACAGCTTGGTGACCTCTGTAGGTAGGGTAATCAGAGAAGACAGTCTCTGAGAAGTACCTTTTAAGCTGAGATCTGTATGATATGCAGCCAACCACTGGAAGATCTGGAGGTCAGAGTTCCAGGCAGAGAGAAAGTAATTGCAAAGGCTCTGAAAATGGAAATAAGCTTGGCATATTCAAGGGATAGAAAGAAAGCAAGTATGACTAGGTCATAATGGATGACATAGAGAATGGTGGAAGATGAAGCTGGAAAAGTAGTCAGGGGCCCAGTGATTTGGAGTCTTTTATGTCATCATGAGGATGTGGATTTTATTCTGTACATATTGGGATTCTTAGAAAAAGGAGTTACTTTCTCTAATAAAACCGTGCAAAGTACTGATCTTTGTGCAAAGGATTTCACCATTTTTAACATGGTGGTGTTAGTGATAATTATAGTGATAATGATGCTTGTTTTGGTCCTTACTAAGCCATCTTATACCCAGGCTTTCAAAGCAGTTTTTCCCAAAATGCAGATCTCATCATTTCACCTATGCTTAAAAATTTTCAGTGATTCTCTTTCATCTTTAGAATAAGATCTAAATCTTTCACTATGACATAAGGCTTTTCACCATTTGACCCCTCCACATTTCTTCAGATTCATCTCCTGTCTTCACAAGCTGTTGTTCTCTAGCTATACCAGAGCTATTTACAATTCCGTGGACATATCTTGGTTTTTCATGCAAATGTATGCTCATGCTGCTGAATGGCTGAAATACTCTGCTTTGTCAAAGATTACCTCTCTTGTCCTTGAGAACATATTGCTCAGGTTAGTAGAATCTCCTCTTAAAATACATGATACAGGCTGGCTTATTCTGAATCCTTCTCTCCCTCCCCAGACTGATATCATTAAGTATAAAGGCTCTTATTTAGCTCTATATCTCAGCACCTACTTAAGTGCTGGGCATATAGGAGATGCTCAACCATGCTTATAGAAAGATGAATGCCTGATTGCATCATTTTAAAATCAGTGATTACAGGAAAGTCTTATTCCATAAAACCTCATGGGAATTTTTAATAATAAATAAGTGGTTGCATATCATATTTCTAGAATGTAGGGTAGAGAGAGAAAATACACACACATACATACACACACATGCTATAGAAGAGCAAAGATATTTTGAATTCCAAGGAAGAGAGTGTCATATACATACCAAGATGATTCTCTCTGCTTCTAAACTACTGCATTTAATCCGGTAAAGTTTGTGTTTGCTGTGTGGTTTTAGGATGGTTTTGATATTAGCATTCAGGATAATTGGGTTGTTTCAGAATAGGAGAGAAACCTGGTAATTGTTAATTGTTGTCAAGATGAAAGCAGTAATAAAGCTGCCATTTTTCTCTTTCCCCACAATGTAAATAGTACAATACTTCAGTTACATTGAATAAGCAGTTGCTGGACAGAGATCAAATAATACAAAAGTTGTACATGAATATTTGCAGGTTAAATATTGTGATTGAGAATTAGCAAAATACAGATACTATACTATATACTGAAAAAGCAAGAAACAAAGCAGGATAGGCCTGGCGCGGTGGCTCACGCTTGTTATCCTAGTACTTTGGGAGACCGAGGCGGGAGGATCATTTGATCTCAGGAGTTTGAGACCAACCTGAGCAAGAACGAGACCCTGTCTCTACTAAAAATAGAAAGAAATTATTTGGACAGATAAAAATATATAGAAAAAATTAGCTGGGCATGTTGGCACATGTCTGTAGTCCCAGCTACTCAGGAGGCTGAGGCAGAAGGATTGCTTGAGCCCAGGAGTTTGAGGTTGCTGTGAGCTAGGCTGACACCATGGCACTCTAGCCCAGGCAACAGAGGGAGATTGTGTCTCAAAAAAAAAAAAACAAAAACAAAAAAAACCACCAGGATGTACAGGTTGAGTATCCCTTATCTGAAAAGCTTGGGACGAGAAGGGTTTGGGATTTCAAATTTTTTGGATTTTGGAATATTTGCATTATAATTATTAGTTTAGTATCCCTAATTCAAAAATCCAACATCCAGAATGCTCCAAAATCTAAAACTTTTTGAGAACCAACATGATTCTCAAAGGAAATATTCACTAAAGCATTTCAGATGTTGGATTTTTGGATTAGGGATATTAACCTGTGCATGTTATTTTTTGTGTAATAAAGGGAGACAAATAATATTTATATTTGCATAAAAACCACTAGAAGGATGCATAAGAAACTAATGAACCATGTTACTATTTAATTTTTAAAAATTATCAGATGGGAAGCTTCCTACCTAATCATGTTTAAGTTCCAGCTAAGCTTTTCAAACTAGGTTCTTGGATAAACTGAGAACATGTTCTGAATCAAGATTGTATATATTTAGGTTTTTGGTGTCATGAATACCTCTCATTTCCCTTGTGATCACATTCCAGCCTTTAGCTAATATCTTATTTACCTTACTTATATATAACAACCACTATTCTGTCTAGTTTCCTCCTAGTAGGTAGTATCTCTTAGTTCAAAACCACTTGTGGTGTGTTTGGAATTGACTTCCCTCACTACTATTATAGTGACAAGTCTGATGTTTTCTGTTCTTGGCTTTTGGTTTCATTTGTTTGGTTTTAGAAATGATTTTTTCTTTTATATGATAGTGTAGCAATAGAGATTATCCAACTATCTAGTATATCTATTTAAGACACATCTCCAGTATTAAAGAGGAAATATGTTTATATTATTTGCAAGGGCTTTGGACCATTGGTGCTCTTTCACTATCAATTAAAAATCTAAAAATTCAAAATTCATGTAATTGGAATAATTTACAATTAATATAAGTATGCCTTGCTTTCTTAACTTCTATTTATTTTACATACATTTAGAGGAGCTTTTTTTTTTTTTTTTTTTGAGACAGAGTCTCTTTTTGTTGCCCAGGCTAGAGTGAGTGCCATGGGCTCAAGCAATCCTGCTGCCTCAGTCTCCCAAGTAGCTGGGACTTACAGGCATGCGCCACCATGCCTGGCTAATTTTTTCTATATATATTAGTTGGCCAATTAATTTCTTTCTATTTATAGTAGAGACGGGGTCTCGCTCTTGCTCAGGCTGCTTTTGAACTCTTGACCTCGAGCAATCCGCCCACCTCAGCCTCCTAGAGTGCTGGGATTACAGGCGTGAGCCACCGTGCCCGGCCTAGAGGAGCTTTTTTTATAGGCAGGCAAGATCATTAAGGGTATTTGTATCAAGAATAGCTTATTTTATGTTTAACAAACCTAATATGTATGGTAACTGTATATTATTATGTGTATTTTTAGCATGCCTTCAAAACAAAAGGTCAGTTACACAGGCTACTTAAAAGAATACAAAATGCTAATGTTTTGTTCTGATACTTTCTTTTTACATTGTTGCTTTTATTGTTTTCAAAATATTAAAAGTTGGCTATAATAATAATTAAATTAAAAAAATTCACCATGGTTCTTTATATCATTCTGAAGTTCAGCTACCAACTGTCTGATTTGTTTGTTGTCTAAAGGTGTTCTTAAGGATTATTTAAGAGAACTTCCTTCTCCTCTGATAACAAAACAGCTTTATGAGGCTGTATTAGATGCAATGGCAAAAAGTCCTTTGAAAATGTCATCAAATGGTTGTGAGAATGACCCAAGTGATTCCAAGTTTGCTGTTGACCTGCTAGATTGTCTGCCTGAGATTGAGAAGGTAAGCATAATTGGTATACATTTTTTCTGAAAGCCAGCTAATGATGTATAAACTTAGCTCTATAGCTACAAATAATCTTTTAGGTACTTGACATTTGTGGCATTTATGGATTTAGCTTCTGCCTTTACTGTTTTTAAATAGTATAAATCTAGACATGCTTCTTAATTAGAATAAATCTAGAAAAGTTTCATCTTTTCTGTTTATGATTTTAGCTAGGCATGAATAAATACTCCCTATAAGTTTTTAAAGTATATTATTATTGTATTATTACAATAATATATGTTCATTATAGAAAAACTGGGATATGTAGAAAAGAAGAATGTAAAATTACAATTATCAGTATATAAAGGCAATATAATTAACATTTTAGTGTGTTTCCTTTTAGTATGTTTTAGATGTGGTAACTTTTTGTGTACATGGCTTAGCCTTAAGACTCAAGCAATACCACCATCCCTTGTTTTTTTCCTCCTTACCTTCTTCCCATTTGCTCCCTCCCCCAAATCTAAATCTTGGGACCAGCACCCTCAGGTATTGTTATAGGAGAGAAATAGGAGGATGGCTGTGTCTGCAGAACCAGCCTTAGCTGACTTTAGCTATTATTCCTTAGGACAGAAGGGGAAATAAGAGAAAGACATGGGCTTGTCCAGATGAGGCCAACCTTGCCTCATTTCTTACCATGTGGGGGCAGAAAGTGCAAGAATGAGTGGGTAGAAACTTTAAGCCCAGTAACTTTATTTACTAGTTTACTGTGGTTTCCTGAATGTGCTCTAGTTTCTTTAAGGATTAAAAAAATATATTTTTTTTCAATAAAATTTTCTTTCATTTCCAACTGTATTATTCTTCCCGTTGCTAAGGTTCATCTACTTAAAATATTTATTAGTTAAGACGCACGTTGGCCTTTCAAAAATGTCTTGTATCTGGATCATTATAGAACCTGACCCTGTTCTGAAAGGGTTAAGCTCCTAGATTTAAGTGTGATAGCCCCTACTTACAAATACAGGACTTATCTGTACTTAAAAATGAACCCTCTTACCCTAATCACCTTTCCCATCACAACCTTTGCTCTTGCCATTTTAGAAGAGAGAAGAGAAGAAAGGGTTGATGCATTTTAACTCCAGCTGAAATTTGGAACACATTCATAAGCATTTTATAAAGAATGAATACTTTAACCATTTAATGGATTAAATTATGTTGTTGGAACATAATTTAGGCCCTGTGCGTTGTTACAAGAAAATATGTTTCAGGTTCCAAATATCCAACTTATAAGCAAACCTTTGTGAAAACCCTTTTAAAAGCGACAGGATGCTCATCTATATTTTCTGCTATAAATTGTGTTATTGAATTTGTCGTGGTATGACTGTATGAAGTGAAATTTAATTTAATTTAGGAAACCCTGAAGATGTTGTTGGATCATTTGAAATTGGTGGCTTCTTACCATGAAGTAAATAAGATGACCTGCCAGAATTTGGCTGTGTGCTTTGGACCAGTATTATTAAGTCAAAGGCAAGAGACTTCCACCCATAACAACAGAGTCTTTACTGATTCAGAAGAACTTGCAAGTGCTTTGGATTTTAAAAAACATATAGAAGTTCTTCATTATTTACTCCAACTCTGGCCAGGTAAATGATTCTATGAAAATATTTTTGTCTTTCAATGATAGGGTATTTGATTTAGCTAATCATTAAATATGTCCATATATGATTGAACAAAATCTTCTCTAGATTTCACTTTTCCAAATAGTTATGAATGAATACCTTAAATTTTTTCATTTAAATTTTCTGCATTTGCTAATAACATTGTAGACATATAGATCAATGTACACATTTAGGTTTGGTCAGATCTGGTTTTGAATCCTGCTTGTGCCACTTATTAGCAGTATGACCTTGGACAAGTTCTTTAACATCTTAGAGCCTCATTATCATTTTTTTTTGGTCATATGGATTTAATAATATATTTCTAGACTTTATATGAGGATTAAATAAAAATTATGTATGTAAGGTGCTCAGCACAGCTCTTGACACATGATAGATACTCAGTAAATACTAACTTCTTTACTCTTCTCATTTTTAGTTCAACCAGTATGAAGTAGAATTCATTTTTTTTTCTTGAATTAGTTCTTTCTGACACATCTTTGCTGTATTTGTGGTCATTCTTCGAATTATCCCAGCTTGAACTGGCAATTATCCTTGACCTTTCCATCTTTTTTATCTGTTCCTTATTTCAGTCAGTAACCTAAGACTGAACAGTTATTTTCCCAATATATCTCTTACATAGTTTCAGAACTAAAAGAAATATGTATATAATTACATGTTCTATAAAGAATCCTGTATTTAAGTTCCAAAATTTTGTTATCCTATAGTAACCTCCACTGCCCTTGCTCCACACTGCATAAGACCAGGTGTGAAGGTACTTCGGGCCTTAGTATAGAGCACAGTGGTAAAAGTGCTTGGCGCTAGAGTCAAGCTTGGCTTCACTGGGGCACTTGCCAGTAGTGTGGGCTCAGGCAAAGACTAACTTCTTCAAGCCTCAGTTTGCTTCTCTGTAAGTAGTACCTACCTCAGGGTTGTTGTGAAGATTGAGATGCATCCAAGGCAGTGAGCAAAGTATTTAGCACAAAGTAAGCCCTCAGTAAACGTTCTCTATTACTCACTTATTGATACATATGAGAAGGAAGGTCCAAAGTACAAAGAAATGCTTGATTTAGTCTTTTAAAATAAATCTGATTAATTTAAAAAAGTGAATTAAAAAACAAATTAATAAAATGTTCAATTTTTAAATTTGGAAAGTTAAAATTTTTACTTTGTTTTAAATACAGGCTTAAAAATTATTCTAATTTATATTTTAACTGAATTAGAATGTATTTTGTTTTTTGAGACAGAATCTCTGTTGCCTGGGCTAGAGTGCTGTGGCAGCAGCCTAGCTCACAGCAACCTCAATCTCCTGGGCTCAAGCAAATCCTTCTGCTTCAACCTCTCCCGAGTAGCTGGAACTACAGGCATGTGCCACCATGCCTGGCTAATTTTTCTATATATTTTTAGTTGGCCAATTAATTTCTTTCTATTTTTAGTAAAGACAGGGTCTCGCTCTTGCTCAGGCTGGTCTCAAACTCCCGAACTCAAATGATCCACCTGCCTCAGCCTCACAGAGTGTTAGGATTACAGGCGCGCCCAGCCTAGAATGTATTTTAATTATTTAAAAATCCCGAATCAGGATTCTCAGGATAATTGAGATGATTTCAGCATTTGATGCCTAACATAAGGGATCTCTCAGAGTTTTAAATATATGTTTCCTTTGTTTAGAACAGCCTTAATTCTAATAAACATCAGGAATTTGGGAGGATTACAATTTCATTGTAATCACAAATGAAAACTTGCTTCCCTGGAGACACCATTAAGTTTACTATCAGTAAACTTAGTTCTTTGTCATTAATTCTGTATCAGAGTTTAATGTCATTTTATCATTTTGTAATAGCTACGTTAGTTTTGGGTTTGGGAGCAGAAACTTAATTTATATCCTGTGTTATAGAAAAAGCAGGTTTAGATTTCATATTCACTATATTTTAATGACAGCCTTAAACAACTGTCTCCTAGTGTATAGCACCTTATTCCAAAGGTTCGTGTTGTTGGTCTTAAAAATAACTGCTCCTTTTTCTAGAACCTGTTATTTTTCTTTAATTGTAGTACCTTAGACAAAGGACAGACCAGGGCAGAAGGATGAGAGGAAGCAACGGTTAGTTTTGCCCTCTAAATCACCTGCTTTTAGATTCAGGAAAATGCAGGAATCAAGTTGATGTGTGGCCTGAGAAAATTGATGGTAACATAGAGAATGTGGCAAGGACTGGGCCATAGCATATTAATTCAGTGAATGCCCATCTCCATGCATTCTATAGAACGTTTTGACTTTCCTTGCTGTGCATATCTTATTTTCCCATTTGGAAATTCTTCAACTCCAGAGTTAAAAGGAGTTGCCCCTACCCCTGCTTCCTTTTTACTTTCTAAACTTTTTGTTTTGTTTTTTAATTTTGGGCAAGAAGATAATTTGAGTTGAGATTTCTATTTGAAAAATCATGTCTTCAGATTAATTAGTTAGAACCTTAACATATCGGCACTAGATGGTAAAAAATTATCCTGCCAATAGTTTTTCAGATTATCTTCCACTAAGCTCTTAGGTTCTTTGGAAGTGGCTTTCGGCCAGGTTGGCAGGTGGGGGAGAGCAAAATGGAATCATATTTCAGATAAAAAGAAGATTGTTCTTTTTATCTATCTTATGTATTGAGTTTTTATAAAAGTTTTTCTTTTAAAAATGAGTTTGCTGTTTTAAGAATGCTGAAAATTATTTATAGGCTACCCTGTCACTTTAGAGATGGGGAAATAGATTTAGAGAGAGTATAAAACTCCTAGATCTTTGCTATACTGCATTTTCTATGATGAGTAAATTTGGGGCAAGTTTTTTGGAAATAGTACCAATTGTTCTCTAATTCTTTTTCATTTTTCTTACAAAATTGTAAGTTTTGTGAGGTCAGGGATTATGTTTTTGTTTAACCTTATATTCCCAGGTCTTAGAGTACTCAGCACTAACTAGACATGCAATATATTTCTGTTAAATAAGATATAATTATACTGTAGCTAAAAGGCTAATAAAGTGGCAATTAGAAACAAATCTATTAGTAAGATAAGGAAAAATTAAGTTTCTTAGTAGTTATCATTACATTTTGAAATTTTTTCAGCAACATTATAGACCACATTTTTTATTTTATTCTGTTGAAGGTGGGTAGTCAACAGTGATGAGAAAACCAGGACTTTTCTTTTGAAGTTAAAATTAGCCATTTTCTCTGCATATTTAGTGGAAAACCATTCCAGCATCGGTAGTATTAAAAGCCAGTGATGTTGATTTTCCAGAAATTGAATTTTTAGTCTAAAAGATATTAAAATATCAATTTAGTTGCTTTCTTAAAATATTTTCTAAGATAATATGTAAAAATAATATTTAAATAGAGTCTTAGACAACTTCAAGCTACTGGCAACAAAATGAATCTGGATTTTGCAGGCAAATGTCAGACAATGCAGTCACAATAAGACAAGTTTAAGACACAGAGTCAAAAGATACAGGGATTAGATTAGACTAGATCGCAGGGTTAGCAGAGTACTGTAATTGGTTGGTGAAAACAACAGGCATGACAGTTAAGCACTAAGAAGAGTAGGAATAACAGAATGAGAGGAGAAAAGCAAGATGGTGGCAGTAAGCAGCTAGAGGAGAAAAAAGAATTGCATAATTAAATAGTGGAACAATTCAGATGTCCATTCTGCAATTATATCAGTTTATTGCATGGAATATTCTATATTCTATATTAAGTGACAGTAAAGATCAATTTAAAGTAAATATCTGACCTTTATTTTCTAAGAAATTTTAAATCAAGAACTTGATTTAAAATCAAGCTATCTACAATGATATATAATCTACAATGATATATAATAACCATCATAAAAATGTGATGGTAGAAATGTTAAAAACATACCTATATAATAGTTATCAAATATTCCAGTGAAATCTAAGTGAAAAAATTTATGTGGTCTCTGAAAAATTTTATGAATATCACTGACAGTCTGAAAAACTAGAACCATATACATGTTTGTATAGTTTTTCAGTTGTATTTTGTACAACAGGAAACAAGTGTTCGTTATATGTTGGAGAGTATAAAATTGATGTTATCACTGATTTATGTTCCCTTTATCTTAGTTAAGAGAAATATAAATGGAGAGACACTTATTAACAGGGGATAAACAAGCAGAAAGAGAAAGGTATTATGGATAATCTTTAACAGCTATGTCTCAGCATTTTAAATTAAGTCCATTTTGTATACAGAAGAGCCTTAGATATTTTGTCCAATATACACAAATGAGTAAGCAGCAAAACCTTGGTTTGTAATGAAATAATGTGTGTCTCTGTGATAATCTTCTATATGGCGAGCTCTCAGAAGACATTAGTCTTAATGTGGGGAGTGTTATTCGGGATTGTTAAATACCTAACCAGAATGGGAAAATAAAATATCTGTGCTATTTCCAGGCAATAAATGAAGACTATTAGTAGATAATGCTGTATAATCAAACTCAGGTAACAGTAGCCAAATCTGGTATTCATGCATTTTATAAAAGTGAAATTTGGACTGCTTAGTAAAGTAAATTATGACACTGCTGCTAATAGAATTGCAAAAATGCCCACAAAGGTCAGAACTTTTAGAGTGATCACTTTAAATGCCTTTGCCTCATTTAGATGTTTGCAAATAAAGGAATATTTTATGTTTTGTTTGTACACCAACATGTGTTGCTTGCCTGCTTTTTGCTGTAGCTTTTAATTTAGGAGAAGCTTCCAGCTTAGCTACTGTTTGAATTATAGCTGGATAATAATTAACGTGCACAGAACATTGGAAATTTGTTTTGGGATGTTATGATATAGCATGAATTAGCACCACTGAACATTCTGCTAGCTTTTCTATCCCTAATCTCGATTATGTCTGGTGATAGAAAAAATAATTATGGAATGCTTTCTTTGGATAGTATGCATGTTTTTGTTTTAATGCATGTTTGTAGTTGATTATTAAATGGCTTATCTTTAGCTCTGTTTTTTAAGGTCAGTTGGCTTACTGTCACTAAAGCAAAGTTATTGTTCATTTTTAGTGCAACGTTTAACTGTCAAAGAATCAACAGACAATTTGTTTCCAGAGCAGAAGTCTTCTGTGAATTGTTTGAGGCGGAAGAAAGAACGACCTTACATGTTAGATTTGAGTAGTACTGATTCATCTGGAGTGCTTAGGCCAAGACAAACCAGATTAGACAGTCCACTTAGCAATCGTTATGCAGGAGACTGGAGCAGCTGTGGAGAAAACTACTTTTTAAATACAAAAGAAAATTTAAATGATGTGGATTATGATGATGTCCCTTCAGAAGATAGAGAAAATGGAGAAAATTATAGCAAAATGGATGGACCAGAAATAATGATCGAACAGCCAATTCCCACATCCAAAGAGTGCACATTTCAGACATACTTGACAATGCAGACAATTGAATCTACAGTAGATAGAAAAGTCAATCTCAAAGATCTACAAGAAAGTATTGATACTTTGATTGGAAATCTGGAACGTGAGCTCAACAAAAATAAGCTTAATATGAGTATTTGAGATTGAGGGTTTTTATTTGGTTTTTCATAATGCCTTAAAGTTTCAAATCTGTCTTTCTCACTTTCTTTTCTTATACCTCCAACAGTGATGTTTTTATTTTTTTACTCTTGAAAATTTCAGTTAATTTCTAATAAGTTTGTGATTTAATTAAAAATACTATTCACTAATACAATTTTGACTTATTAGAAAACTTTTCTGGGGGTAAAGATAACTTGGACTTCTTGGGATATTTTAATAAATCTTGCCAACTCTATGGAAATAACTTTCACATGCATTTAGAAGGTTCAGATAAGTTATTAGCCCCCCAAGGTTTTGGTACTTCATAGGAACTGCTCTGCTGAGACAGATGTTTCTTTAGAGAAATGTCACCACTCAGTCTGATTTGCAGTATGAGTCCTGGTACAATGCAACATCATTTGGTCACACTTCATTTGTAATGTAAATGCTGCTATAAGAAAACCATTTTATAAATAAAAGTAAAATTATACTAATATTAATGTATTCTGTATTAACATTCAGTAATTATTTAAGCTTAAAGAAATTAAATATTTTTATAATACTGAAATTGTATATATTTATAAATGCATATATATGTAAGTATTAGAATCGAGGGAGTGGTGGCCTTTAGAATCACATGTATTTTTAAAGCATATATGTCATGAGGCCAAAATTATTAGCTTACAAATATCTTTTTCAGGAAAAGGACATGTAAGTTACAGGAGTTACATAAAAACACTTGAACAAAAACACTCTAGAAGCATCTGAATAGAAATAATTGACTTTCTTTTTTGATTCACAGAAAGTCACAATATCCCTTGTGAAAAGTCATCTTTGAAATCTTCTAACTCCTTGAGTGATTAAGTGCCCTGATTTCTGCATTGGTGACTTAGATTAAAAAAATCTTTACCTATTTTACGCATTTTTGTATTCTGCTTTAAGTATTTATTTGTAGCAGTACATTTATAACACTGACTTTATAATTACACTGATTTGTTTCTAAGGAAATTATCTTGCCAGCATATTACATGTTATTTTTAAAAATTAACTTATTTTAGCTAAGTATATCTAAAAGGTAGTCATTATGGCAATCATAGCAGTGTTTGAAAATGTAAATTTAGAAGCTTTTTTATTAAATCAAGATGTATTTTTTTAACTTTTATACCTAAAGAATATATAATTTTAAAATTATAAATAAAATTTAAATTACCAACTTTTAAGATATAGCAGCCATTAAAAAAGCTGAATTCCTGATGTTTTTTCCCTAAATATTATTTAATCATTTCTATGCAATATACATTGGTAAACAGGAAACCTTTGTTATTTAATTTGAAAATCCATTGTTAAAAAAATAGATAACTATTTTTATATGAAATTTTCTTTTTTTCAGCTTTGTGTAACAATTCAGAAGAATACCAAAAGAACATGTGTATTGAGTAAACAACCAAAAAAAGTACTTTTAAATGTTTTGTAGGAAGACTGCCATAGTTTTCTTCCTTTTATTTGCTATTTATGTATATTGTATGAATTGAATAAGTTCCAGAAATGTAAAACTTTTATTAAAATATTATAACCATGGAGTCATGCTGTTAATTATCATAATGATTTTAAGGATCACTTATTTCAATATTCTTTTTAAACAAAGGTGTTAAAGTATTGGACCATCATGTATTATATATAAATATATGTAATAACGTTTATTTGTCTAGAATTTAATTCTCCAGGGTCTGAAATACTTAAGGGCCATGCTTATATTACTATATATTTTGGATGGGAATAGTTTTAAAGTTAATCTCTGCCATCTTAAATAGAGAATTCTAAACATTGTCTAATCCCTGAGTCATAACTATAAACCTCTCTTGTTGACTGTTGTTCTAGAAGTGTTGAATAAGTTTAAATGACTTTATTTTAAATCGCCTTTTATTTCAAATATTTTTTGAGTTTTTATATCTGCCTGTTTTTGTTTTTTTTTTTTTTTTGAGACAGAGTCGCACTCTTTTGCCTGGGCTAGATAGATTGCCATGGCATCAGCCTAGCTCATGGCAACCTCAAACTCCTGGGCTCAAGTGATCCTCCTGCCTCAGCCTCCTGAGTGGCTGGGACTACAGGCATGCGCCACCATGCCCAGTTAATTTTTTCCATATATTTTTAGTTGGCCAGCTAATTTCTTTCTATTTTTTTAGTAGAGATGGGGTCTGGCTCTTGTTCAGGTTGGTCTCGAACTCCTGAGCTCAAATGATCCACCCACCTCGGCCTCTCAAAGCCCTAGGATTGTAGGCGTGAGCCACCACGCCCGGCCTATATCTGCTTTTTATAATTTCCTGAGATCTTTCTACACTGTCAGCTGTCATTCCTTTATGAGCCTGCCAGCTCTCATGTCTTTTAGAATTAAAAACAATTTTAATTTTCTAGCAGGTACCTGAATAAAAATTTTATTTAAACAATTCAAATGGATAGAAAATAAAAAGTATTTTTCCCTGCCATCCACATCAGTTTCACTTCTCAGAGGTAACAGCATGTTTATTGCTGTTGTTTCTTAATTTATCATTTAAGAAGAATCTGTTGATTGTTATAAATGATATGCAATTTATCTCACTCCATTCCTTTTTACCATTTTTGTTATATTTTTAGTTCTTCATTTGTTTTCCTTCATAACTTAATTAATAATCTTTATTTTTCTGATCCATTGATTTTTAAACAGTCTCCCTTGACTCCCTACCATTGAGGAAATGACCAACACTGTACTTCCCCTCCCACTCATTATTGCCCTTACCTCCTAAGTTCTGTATACTTCTAGTTTATATAATCAATGTTCATAGATATATATTACTTTGGGGAACTATATTTATGTTTTCCTTTTATATAGTATATTGATTGTAAAATTACAAATCAATAACTAGCAGTCATACTAGATTATACGAAAGTATTCACAGATAAACAAGGTGATTTGTTTCTTTCTACATATCTAATCTTATATACTTACATCTGTGCTGATTTAAGTAGACTGTTCCAAGCAGAAGTCAAATGGATTCTTTTTTCTCATAACCATCAACTTCTCCAAATCATACCATGTGTCACTTGCTTCGTAATTAGGTCATGGGTTTTACAGATTATTATTTTTCTTGGAGTATGTAATTGCTTTTTTTCTTGACAGAAGAAAAATGCTTCCTTTACTGTCTCTCCTTTTAATCATACTATTGAATTACCAAATTTGTTCAGAGTGCTTTTAGCTCCCATCCTGGGATTCCTGAAGTATATTCTTGATTTTATTTATTTTTCTTCTTATATCTTCTTCAATATAACCCTCACATCATTTTATGCTTCCTAATCAACTTTATCAAATTTGGACAATGTAATTTTTAGCTATCATCCTGAGATGTACTTTCTTTGTACTCCTATGTTAGTTCTTTTTTTGGATCCCAGTCTTTCTTGAATTTGTTTTTCTGTTTGCTGAAGTATATAAATAAGATGCCTTTTTATCCCCAGGAACAGTACCTGGGAGATAAACTCTAAGTCCCTGCATATTTGACAAGACCTTTAGTTTTTCCTCACACTTTATTTTTATTGGCTCTGCAACTTGATGTTTAAATCCATTTTTCTTTAGAACTTTGAATGCATTTCACTATTATTTTCAAGCATCCAGTTTTGCAGTAATTTAGGCTAGAAAGAGGATAGTTCAGACCAGGATAGAAAAAAATAGAGATGGTGAGAAATGGTTGGATTCTGGATATACTTTGAAGTAGGAGCTAAAACAATCTGCCAGTGGACTAGGAAAGGAGTAGGGCCTGAGCAGGTAGCTGAAGGATGGAGTTGCCATCAAGCAAGAATGAAATGATTCCATATTTTTTGAGTTCCTTGTATTGGATGTGGGTATTATTAATATAGTAGTTATTAAAATGCCTGGTAACAGGCTGTTAACTATTAGTATTAATGCTTCTGTACCTGGTGGTGATGCTCATAGAATCACTGCTAGAATAAGAAAGCAAGAAGAATTCATATATATCTAAGAAAAATCCCACATAATAGCTGTCTTTGGAAAATTTCAGGTTGTGTGGCTTAGTATCTCGGACCCTAAAGAGAAAGGGTTGAATACTGATATGGTTCCTGAAAGGAATTTAGTTTCCAGACCACAGATTGACTTTGACAGTTAGGATTTGATAAATTAAAAACCAATTTTTAGGTACTGGTTATGAAAACATTATGTTTAATAATCACAAGTCCTAATTTGAGTTTTACTGACCTGAGGACTTTGGTACAAAGAGAAATGCTCTTTGCTCTTTTCCCTGACCAGTTTTCATTTCAAATTCAATAAGGCTCATATCTGATAAACATCGAAGTTCCACAGGTCAGAGTTTTGGTTGTATTCTGCCTCAGCCAAAAACTAGCTAACCCCAGCAGACATTGAATTTACTGAAAAAATAATGTATCAGAGGGAAGGCTATTTGGGGGTGCTGAAAATCTTATCTCTTGATCTAAGTGGTGGTTTCACAGGTATTTACATCAAGTTTCATACTTAAGATTTGTGCTCTTTCTATAAATCATGCCTACATTTTTTAAAGTAAATTTTTTAAAAAATGGGCAAGCTGGAGAAATAGACTTGGAAAATTAGCAGAAACTAAGAGAGGCTAGGTTGTCAGAATGACAACAATCAAGGCCATGCCTGGTTATGGTGCTGCTGTTGCTGCCCCTGCCACTAAACAGCCCAAGTACACCACTGGAATTAATTGTAAGACGTCCCTCCTCTGCATCATTGCTGATTCACACAGTTCCTGACAAAAGCATCAGATTGCACCGTAGCTTCCAGGAGTTAGAGAGAAATTGGCTTGCATCCTTTCCCCAAAACTTATAAATTCTTTGACTACAAGGAAGAGAATTTGGAAGCTGAGCAGGCAAAACAGTGACAAATGTACAAATACCTAATCTTCATCAGAATGCTGTTGCCCCCAAATTGGAGTCTTTCTTACCCTCCCCAACATGTCCTAGCCATCAGTAGGTCTGAGTGTTATATGTCCTGAAACTGTGATAAACTTAAGTTTATCACTGCTAACACCCTACTCCAAGCCACCATCATCCCTTAATCTCTTCGTATTTCACCTCTGCTATCACACTTTTCTCTCCACATCCACAATACAGTCTATTCACAGAAGCTAGTCATAAAAAGATAAACCACCTCATTTCCTAGACCTTCTCCCTTGTTCCTTGTGCTCTTGCAACTGTGACCGCATTCCTGTCTGAGGATCTTTGCACTTGCCATTCCCTCTGTCTGGAAAGCTCTTTAGAGCTCTAAGACCTTACTTAGGTAGTTCTTTTTTGTCATTCACTTCTTTGCTCAAATATCACTTCGAAGAGGCTGCCTCTGGAAAGCCTGCTTCAAGAATTGGGGGAATAAAGAGATGGAGATTTCTGTTTCCTGTAACAAATGCTAAATAGTTATGGTACTATTTGGTTAAACTGTAGACATTTATAACTTTGGTAAATGTTTACATTTAGACCAAATGCAAGAAGAAAAACTTTTAAAGACTATATGCACAGTGTCACTGTCATATCACCCTGGCTTATTTTCATCAGGCATTTATTACTATCTGAAATTATTTATTTGCATATTTATTTGTTTATTATCTGTGTCCACCTTTCTAGATTGTAATGTCTATGGCAGTAGGGACCTTATATATCTAGTGCATTGCCATATGCCTAGGGACTATAACATACAAGATGTTCAATTAATTGTTAATAAATTAATGACTTTAAAGGGATACTTGGAGAATGGTTGTCTTTGTCAGAAAAAGATTAAGGACTATACAATGCATTGTCTATGTAATTTCAAAAGTATATACTCCTGAGCAATAAATTTTACTGGTTAAGAAAGTAATGTTATCATTTTGTAAAAAAAATTATCTCTTTTTCTTTTGGAATTAGAGTGGTCTTGGGAAAAGAAGTTACTACAAGTTAGTGGGTTCATAAATTTGGGGTAATTTTTTGTAGTAATTTTGCTGCAGAGTACAGTATAAAAATTAAATAACATGTATAAAAGTTAAAGTTAATAAAAGTTAAATAACTTGTGTATAAATGTTAAAGTTAATAAAATTTAAGTAACATATATATAAAAAGGTACATCTCACCCTAAGAAAGGAAGGTTAAAAAATTTGTTAAAATCTTACTTCTTTACAGAAATTATAAGTAAAGTATGTCCTCTTAATTTTGGCCTGATTCACTTTAGTATGTACTTTTTCTAGAAGTGGAAAAAGCTATTTTTCATTTAATTAGAATATTTTAATGAACTTGAATGATGCCTATACATATAGCTCTTCCTTATTAAAAGAATAGCAGAGAAACCACTTTGGGGGACAGGCACTACATTTACCGTTTTTATTTTTCTCAATGTCAAGCATTTGTTGTAAGCAAATGAGAAAAATGCCTAACTATTGCCCTTGGGTTGGGTTAGCTTCACCCTTATTTGTTTGATAAGGCCACTTGACATGTTTTTAAGTCATTTCAGTTAATCTTGCTTTTATGCTTACTCAAGGTATAGATGTAGTGAAAACTTGGTGTTGCCCTGTATAATCCATATGCTTCTTTGACTGGAAATTCTACTCTTCAAAATACTCTTACATGGAGAGTTTAAAATTCCAACTTTAGAAAAGTGCAATGGATGTTAAATCAAGAAAAGGGAAAGCCCCTGGCATTCAAGACGTCTCTTGTGAAAGTGATGCGACAGCATGCCTGGAGCTCACTTTTTTTTTTCACAGCTGCAGGTATTGAACAGTGACCCCTTGTTCTTGACCTTTGTTTGAGAAATGAAATGCAGGTCGTTGGCGTGTTTGCGCCTGTTCTTGCCTAACTTTGTTCCCCCTGTAGCCATTGTAAAACCCACTCTTTAACCTAAGAGCAAGTTTGAATCATTACGTAAGTGAAAACTGCTTGTCTAAACTGGTAGATAAGAAATGTCAAA